CCGCCGACGTATTCCCCTATCGAAGGCCTTCGATACATCCAAACTAACCGCCAAGGCGGGAGGTGGATGGACTGCTTGCGCCCATATATGTGCAAGGTAATCAAGAAGATCACTGAGCATCTGAGCAACACCAAAGGAAAACGTACCGACAGTAACTAATCAACTGCTGCACCTCAAGGTACCGCATGAGCTGGTAGTTAATAAGGGATTCTATTTTTTTTTTTGAGCACAAGGAGGTAATGGCGAATAGCCTTTAGTTGGACGATTCAGAGTGGTTACCTTTTTAGAGATCGGGTGGTAACAAGTAGGAAGCTGTCTTCCAAGACTTCGGGACAGCGCCTGAAGAGAAGGAGTATCGGAACAGCGTGTAAAACCGGTACCGAGTGCAAACTCTACCCACACATACCCTCAACACAATTGGGGGAATTCCAAAAAAAGACCTACTCAACTTGTGTACGTCTTGAAAACTACATTCACCCCAATTTGCTGACCTATAGTGCTATTCACTGCATTAATCTGCAGAACACAACCGCAATAGACAATGGTCCAAAAAACCGAAGGGGGCATCGACGGAGACCATAATATATCCATTCGAATGAGAAATCAACATAAAGTACAACAGGGAAAATACATGATCTGCCACATCTGTAACCCACGTAACAGATAATGGGTTTAATGAGAACCCAGCCATTCAGTGTGGTGGGCCTTAAAATAGTCAAAAATCACGATCTCGGCAGATGGGATCTGTTGTAGGACGGAGTCCGTAGTCACTTAGACGTTGTAGCTGAATGAGTCCGTGTCGGCTTTTTTTGCGGCTATATTAAAGCTACCCTCCGGAAGCGGGGGAGGGAGGTGGTGAATGCTCATGGCACACCACGCAGCCGGTTCTGTGGTTATGTGGGACTCACTATGAAGTGCCTACCCACTAAACACCACCTGTGGGACTGGCTTTGGCCTGTATGGCCTTTCTGCCGAATCGGAATTGACCCCCTTTAGGGAAAAGGGGGCGCAGAAGGGAAAAGGGGGCGTAGAAGGGAAAAGGGGGCGCAGATCTGTGCCGACTGTCGTTGTAGGGCATATATAGGCATCCATACACGCGAGGACGGTCGTCGCTGTCTATGATTAGCCAAAGGATAGAGACCATAGACTAATATGATGCTTACATGCTTACGCATATAGAGACCTTCAACCCCCCATCCCTTCCCCAGAAGGAGGGGGGTTGAAGGTCTGTCTTCAAAACTGCCGAACTACAAATCAATCAATTATAATTTTTTTACTATAATATTTATAATTTGTTGTGGTTGTGGACACAAACTAATATGAAGTACTTTTTTTAGTTTTTTAACAAACAATGGATTCCGTCAGCGTCAAGTATTTCATTAAAGTTAACATTGCATTAAGCTACGAAGTTTCCGTAGATGGGCTTACTTTAATTGGTTTGGAATTTAAATAGATAGTGTCAATATTAATGTCTTGTACATGGCAACACTAGTTACACTAGCGCCCTCTAGTATCGAGGAAAAGAAAGTGTTGCGCGCCACTATTAATTAATGTCTTGTACATGGCAACACTAGTTACACTAGCGCCCTCTAGTGTCGAGTAGCAGAACTAGGAGAGTCACGATCCTTCCAGAAATTTCGGGACCGATATGTACTCGAACATTCTAGATGTCGCTACAGTAGAAGATTCTGGAAACTATCTGAGGCCCTATATAAGGCCGGTATAGACCACGACCGAGGCAGTATTGAATTGGCGATACAAGAGAATACTTCGAAGCGAAATAACGGCGAACTGTGTTTTATTATTAGTGTGATTTTAGATTATAATTAGTGTTGTGTAATTAAAGTGTCAATTTTGGTAATTCAATCGGCAGTTTTTAATTGTCTCGAACCCCAAGCTCGTAACAGTAGTATTACAAGAAAACCTTAAAAAGTGTTAGGGCACGTTAAGGGGTCTCCAAATACGTCAGTTTTTCTGTGTTAAGCTTTCGTCAAAATTTGCATAAACTACCAGACGCATCAGTATATTGTGAAGAATTTAGTAAAAAAATACAAGTTTGATTAGGCTGTAGGTGCATAACTCCGTTTGCCTTTAAAAAAATAATTAATAATTCTCTTCTGTTAGAGTTCTGACAGACAGAGAGAAAATAAGCTACATTTCTATCGTTTCTACCACTGACTTAGAAGTATATGGACTGGGCACACCTACAGAATTAGCGTGACTACCTAAATAAATCTGGCGCATAAAATGGCCGCCTTTTATAGGGTTGTTACTCAGCAATATGGGCAGCTGATATCGATATTTTTACTAATATGAGTTTGTTCTTATTTCATATAATTATCGAAATGAAATCCAGAGCCTAATTGCGTAACACACCTAAAATGGCAAATCATATCAATTTGACAGTTTAACAACATCCATTTCGTGGTTTTTGTTGTCGAGCAAACGAATTTTTCAATCACATGAAGCAATGGATATTTTTGGGTTGTTAAATTAGTTTTGGATTGAAGCAGCTCAAGCGAAATTTAAGGGATAGCCCCTTAAATTTCGCTTGAGCTGCTTCACGAGGCTTCACCGCATATGTATACTTACGCAATGCACACTGCACAATTTCAGTTGGTAATTGTCTGTCAATTGTTAAATTTTCGTGAGAACTCATCACTATATTCGAGGTAGTTATTTAAATATATATGAATGTATAAAACATGTTAATTTTAGTCATTTTTGTTTTGTTACGCTAATTATACGCGAATTATAACTTCTTACGTGCGTCAATAAGTGCATACACATGTTTTGTTTTATATCAATGTGAACAAAGTTAAAAAGTTATAACAGACACAATAAAAATGAATATTGACGGAGTATTGGGAAAATGAATATTTTGGCTTGTATACCAAATACCATTGTTTAATGTACAATAATATTGTACAGTAAACAAATATATGAAAATATGATGGAGATCCTTGATTCCATATTATAATCCCATATTATAGTACTTTTAATATTTTTAATATAAAATAAAAACGATTTGTTGAGTAAAAATTAAATAAACTGTTTTTAAAATCAATACTTATTTATTATTAATTGGTGTATAGGAACGTTCTGCACATAATTTTTCATATGTTCGGTCCTGCCGGATATCATATTAAATTTTTTTATTCAGATTATAAATGACAAATATTATTATTTTCGCAGGTACATTAATTAAAAATTAAATAATTTTTCACGTGGTAGAGCTCGACTGGGAAGGGACCACGCTCTCACAGAATACCAGCTTAAAATGGCAGCTTAAAACAGCTGTGTTTCGTATGGCGAGTGTAGAGAACCGGAGACCCTTTTTACTGGAAAAGAGGCATTCCATCTTAGTCCTCACGGGTGACAACGCATCTGCATTTTGATTCGCAAATGAGGATAAATGTAGATGTCCATGGGCCACAGCAACCACTTACCTTCAGGTGGACTGTGTGCTCGTTTGTCACCCTATCCTATAAAATAAAATTTGTTCTTCTAAAATTCAAAAATCTGTCATGATCATGAAACGCTGGATGAAATATGATATCCAGGTTTTATAAACTGTTTTTATTATTATATATTCATTTCTGAACAAAATTAATTAATTAAAATAATTTCTATCGGCACCATAGATAAGTGTGTACGACACTATTTCACTGCTCTTTTGACAGTTTGACAGCAGATCTACCTCAAAACTATGGAGTGTAGAGAGAAGGAGGACCATCTCTATGTATGAAAAGTGTCCCTAAAAACGCGTCCAATAAGGGTGGCGCTGCAGTAGCATAGGATAAATTTAAAAAAAGCGCCAAAATTTATTAGAATAAGATGGAGAAATAAACAAGGACCGACCAATCCGCTTGGTTTTGTACTACGTAAATAGTTGAAATTTTGTATACTGACATTTTACTACCAACTCTAGTCATGAAATTTTTTAAATATTTGAATTCAGCCGACTTCACTCCGTTCACAAGAGCTATTTTCATATCGTAGTTTTTCAGACGCCAGCGCTATTGTGGTAGGTTTTGGAACCTCTATTTTCAGTAATTAGTAGGACACTTTTTCAACTTTCGCCCCTTATAACATGGTTATCCTTGTACTCTACACTCCATACTCAAAACTTGGCACTTAACATGGCGGCGCAGTCACGCATGGAAGAGCTAATGACGTCACACGAAATTATTACCAAAATAAGCACACTACAAACTGTACATGTCTCTCTTTTCTATTGCAGTTACTGCTTTATTAAAAAGAGACAAAACTGTTTTTGACAAATGTGTGTCGATATTATAGATATTTGTATAACTATTATTTCTATAGTGGTATATGCCCTCTCCATAGGTATATATCTCTATGGTTTCTACATTGTACATATACTCCATAGATAAATATATATGTAGCAAGATATACTCCCTCTAAGCTGTCATTTTTTTTAATAACTGGCTTTACGACTTTGAGTTGTAGCCTTTCTGAGCATGAAGTTACAATGTATAATTATTATCCTTCATAGTATAGTGCTTCACAAGATGCGTCACATTGTGCAACCCTTGCGAGATTTCTACGGCTTGAGCCAGCAGACAGCTGAAAGTTGCCGATGGTATCTCAAGGCGCCTAAGCAGACAGACACAATATCTTGATAATCACATCACCATCAGAGCACTTGTTTCACCGTTTCCATTAATAGTTCACATGCGCAGACATTTAATACACAAAATCGCATCACTTTTCCATATTAAAATTCACTTCAAACCATTATTTAAACAATAATACAGGAGCAGCAATCCGTCGCCGGTCAAGTTCCCGCCAAAATCTCTACGCTGTCAGAAAACTGACTGACAGTGAAACAGACAGACAGTGTCATTTAGTTTTCGCGCCAAGCCGTCAATTGATAGCAATTGATAGTGTGTTAGTGGAATTCGTTTGAATTTGGTTAAAAATTATATTATACCAGTTTGGTTTTATTTCATTTTCAAATTGTTTTTTGAGTTATAATGGAGGAAGGCGATTTTGATCAACGTCTTAGGGATTTACAAAGAGAATATCTAGAGTTTTTAGATGATGAAGTGAGTATTTACAAACTTTCAGGTTTATATGTTTTGAATTATATATTTTATTTGCTTTTGATAATTTTAGGAAGACCAAGGCATATATATGGAAAGAGTAAAACAAATGATAACGGAAAAATCGAAGCGATTAGTTGTAAACATAAATGATCTAAGAAGAAAAAACCCAGCTCGTGCCAAAAACTTACTAGAGAGTGCATTTGAGGAGCAGATCGCATTTCAAAAAGCACTCAAAGAATATGTGTCTTCCATAGACCCCACATATGCTAAAGAGCAAGAAGAGTTTTTTGTAGCCTTTTCTGGAAGTTTTGGAACAAAACATGTAACTCCAAGAAGTTTGACTTCACGGTGAGTCACCAAAATCGTCCTCATGTGTTTACTGTGAGAAAAGTAGATTTTCATGCTTTAAGCTTTTATATATTGAAATATAAAATATGTGTCACTTTAGAATAATTTAATCTTATAATATAAAAATGAATCACTGAATGTGTTGCTAAGCGCAAATCTCGAGAGCAGCTGAACCGATTTCGCTAATTCTTTTTTTATAATATTCCTTGAAGTACGAAGATGGTTCTTACGGAGAGAAAAAGTTAAAAAATTGCCTGAAAAAGTCTAAAAACAACAAATTTCTATATATATCTATTAAATTTCAAAAAATATTCTATAATACTTAAAAGTCAATTTGAACTTTAATACCATACCATAAAATTTAAGTGTTAGTGGAGGGGTTCCGGGTAGGCAAAGCAATTGAGTGAGGTTAGTATTGTATAAATATTAATGTTAATATTTGTCAAAATTTATAAGATGGTCATTACTCAAAAACAAAATTAGGGTTTCGCGCAAAAAATTTGATATCCATGAAATCGTAGTAAATTCCACGCGGGCGAAGACGCGGGACACAGCTAGTTTAGAATAATAATAATCAAAATATAAAATATTATGCAAATGCAAATATTTGGGTAATGTTACATATGACCTTTAATTTTAAGATTGAAAAACGTATCAAAGTAAAAAAAAAAGATTGTTTGAAAAAGCTCTTGATCAGCAGAGCAAGCTCTTATTCAACTGGAATAGAAAATTGTACATTGCATTAACATTTGAGTCATAATAAATGCCTATATTACATTAACATAGAAAATAAAATTAGCCTGTATCAAATAGAAAAACAATTCATATTACTAAAACTTGAGTTTATATATGAACTGTTTTTCAATTTTTTCGTGCCAGCATTCTATTTTGTATTAATAAGAATAAATTTTTAACAATTGTTTTACTATCATAGGTATTTAGGCAACCTAATATGTGTGGAAGGGATTGTAACTCGAGTGTCTTTGGTGCGCCCCAAAGTAGTAAGAAGTGTACACTACTGCCCAGCAACAAAAAAGGTTATGGAACGCAAGTACACAGATTTAACTTCATTTGAAGCCTTCCCTTCTTCTGCTGTGTATCCTACTAAGGTAATATAATATCTAAATCAACAATTTCAATTTTTACGTTGTAGAATCATGCTTCAGATATTGATCGGGGAAGCACCATGCTCTCACAGAATACCAGCATAAAATAGCAGTTTAACACTGCTGTTTTGTATGGTGAGTGTACTAGATAACTGGAGACCCATTTTTACTGGAAACGAGGCATTCCATCTTAGTCCGCATGGGTGACAACACATCTGCATTTTGATTTGTAATTGAAGATAGATGTAGATATCCATGGGCCACCCAGAACAATCTGGAAGGGTCTACCACAGGGCTCGGTCTTAAGCCCTATTCTTTACAATATCTACACATATGACCTTGAACATTCGATTTCATCTTTCTGTGACATATTACAATATGCAGATGATCTTGCTATCTATGTAACAGCTCCTGATATCCTAACTGCCTCCCATCATCTTAACAGAGGCTTATATTATCTTAATCAATGGCTTACTGACCATGGCCTCTCTCTTTCAGCTTCTAAAAGCAAAACAATAACCTTTAGTAGAAAACGTGTTTTCCCTACTATTGATATCTCATATAATGGTGAATCTATTCCAGTTGTTAACAAAGTAAAATTTTTAGGTATTTTCTTAGATTGTCATATGACTGGTACTGCTCACTTTAATTACATCTGTGACAAATGTGAGAAAGGTGTTAATATTCTTAGATCCCTTTCAGGCGTATGGTGGGGTTCTCACCCCATGTGTCAAAAAATCCTATACAATGCCATCATCCGCAGTCACTTCGACTATGGCTCTTTTCTTTTGGAGCCCTGCAACAAATCGGCCCTTAATAGACTTGATGTTATCCAAGCAAGATGTTTACGTATTATCACAGGCGCAATGAAATCAACTCCTAAAAATGCTTTACAAGTAGAATGTGCTGATCCCCCTCTCTCTTTACGAAGACAGTTTCTAGCTGATAGATTTCTCTCAAAAACTCTACAACTATCATCTCACCCCTTACATCGTAAACTAGAATCCTTGCTACTATTAGCTGTAAACAACTCCTACTGGTTTAATAAAAGCTGGCCCCCTATTCTTAAATCTCTAAATAGATTAAAAAATATTGGTTATCCTTGTGTAACATCCCTAATTCTACCCTATTTTGAAACCAGCTATGAAGCTATATTAATAAACCCTAAAATCACTCTGAATTTAAACATTAATAAAAATTCCCCCACTGCAAACAGAACTTTCTACAACCTTGTGGCAAAAAAATGGTCTGATTGGCTATATATTTTTACTGATGCTTCCAAATTGTCTCCATTCAAATGTGTCGGTTCCGCAGTCTGGATCCCCAAATACAAAATTGTCCTTAATTATAGATGTCCTCCTCAAGCTTCTGTTTTTACTGGGGAAGCTGTAGCCATATATGAGGCTATTTCCTATATTCTTTCCCATAAAATTCCTAAGTCAGTTATATTTACTGATTCAAAAAGCTGCCTAATGTCATTACAGAGCAATATATTTAAAATGAATTCCATCTCCCCATTAATACTGAAAATTAAGGAACTCATACTAAATTGTAATAAGAGTGGGCTTGATGTGGAGATTGTGTGGATTCCTAGTCATTGTGGTATAGAAGGAAATGAACAGGCTGACTCTTGGGCCAAAGGAGCTGTTGATACTGGCTGTCCTTCTCATTTAATGATTTACTCTCATGATCTAATGTCATTAGCTCAAATTGAATTAAAGAACTCTTGGAACAGAGAATGGAGCACATCCAGACATATTAAAGGTTGTCACTTTGGTAAAATTCAACCCCAAATCCCTCCAAAACCTTGGTTCTTTAAATTTAGCTTTTTGAACAAACAAATCACATCTACAATCTGCCGTTTAAGGCTTGGGCATGCCTGCACTCCTGTATTTCTAGCTAAAATTAGAATCAAAGATCATTCCCTCTGTGAATGTGGACTGGATGAAGGTACCCCAGACCACATTTTCTTTAATTGCCAAAATCACCCAATTTCTTTATATGACATTCTTCCCAACACAATCCCTCGACCAATGAATATCAATTCCCTCTTAACTATCCCCAATTCCATATATGTCAATATGATCTCAAAATATATTCAAATGTATAATATTAAACTCTAATTATCGTGTACTAAATTTAGCTTAAACTAATTCTCTATTCCCTGCCCAGGCTAATTCTCTCCTATAACTAGATGTTTGCTCTATATTGTGTGGTCCATAATTTATGTATTTAGTTGCTTTGTTTTTATCCATATTTTCACCTAATAACCGCTAACTCCTTTTCCACCGAAAAGCCTAAAGACAAGGTGCGACAGACCAAGGACCGGACATTGGCAGAATTATTGTGACATAATCACAATACCAAGGGCCAAATAGACCAAATAATAATAATAATAATCCATGGGCCACAGGAACCACTACCATTGGGTGGACTGTGTGCTCATTTGTCACCCATATCCTATAAAAAAAAAAGTTTGCCCAAGATCCTGGTCCTGGATATGGTAGGAGCTCTTGGATGTTGTATATATTGGTTTAATCAAATTCCTAAAACAAAAATTATGCCATTTAATTGTATTTGCATATAATTCAAGAAATTTAAAGATGCTACAAATATAATTAAGAAAAGAATGCAAAAGAACTGATGTATAAAAATATTTTAGTAGTATAATATTTGCTTAATGTGCAAAAATCAGATACAACAGTTAAAAACAAAGGTAGATTTGAGAATGCTTTTCTACTGCCGTTTTTGAAGGAACCAACTCACTATACCATCACAGTTTTTGATATTTTCTTACTATACTGTTGATACAAAATTTTCAGGACGACGAAGGTAATCCTCTTGAAACAGAATATGGCCTATCAAGGTACAAGGATCATCAGACACTGACAGTTCAAGAAATGCCTGAAAGGGCTCCCGCTGGTCAGTTGCCTCGCAGTGTTGATGTAGTGTGTGATGATGATCTTGTGGACAAGTGCAAGCCTGGAGACAGGGTGCAAGTTGTAGGAAATTATCGGTGCTTACCATCCAAACAAGGGAGCTTTACAGCTGGAACCTTTAGGTAAAAATATTTATTGAACATTTAACCATATCTTATATTATAAATCATATGTGGTAGGGCCATGCTGCAGCTATTTTATGGTTGTAGCACGAAAGGGTCGGCTCGACTGGAGAAGGGCCAAGCTCTCACAGAATACCAGCTTAAAATAGCAGCCCAATACTGCTGTGTTTCGTATGGTAAGTGTAGAGACCCGGATACCCTTTTTATTGGAAATGAGGCATTCCATCTTAGTCCTCAGGGGTGGCAATGCATCTGCATTTTGATTCTTAATTGTGGATAGATGTAGGTATCCATGGGCCACGGCATCGACTAACCATATGTTGCGCCATATGTTTTAAGATTCATCTGGAGGTCCGGATGTGTGTCTCTGTGCAATTTACGTTTTACGTAAACTGCCTCCACAACACAGGAGAAAATCCAAGTACTGTTTTTTTAAAACACGAAAGAGAGAGAATGAGATCTATGGTAGCTCTAATAGTAAAACTATATAGATATAGCATTTAGTGCAATGTACTACAAAGTGATTAATTTTGATGTCAACTAAGTTAGTGAATAGGCGTGCTGGACCTCATACGGTGAATTATGTGCAGATGTTGCTAAAAGAACAAAAAGTGTGTGCATATCTCTTTTACTAATGAAGAGACTAGAATATCAAGTGGGTTGTACTATTGTGTGTTCAAATTAAATAATAGTACTGTAATATAAATATTTCTTTAAATGGATTCTTAGTTCATCTATATTTTTTATGAGCCGATACCTGCGACTTTGTCAGACTTGATCCCGCTACTTGATTAAGGTACAACTGAACAGCATCAAGTAGCTCGCGCAAATAATGCGCGGTAGAAGAGACTTTCCCTCTCCTATGCATGCACGCTACACCACTTGCCTCACTTCACCGCAAGAAAACCCACATCACTGAACACATAGTGCATATATAAATATTTGTTACTTAATACTTTGATAACTTTATATTAAATGAAGATATCACAACAGTGTCCAAGAAATAAAACTTAGAAAACCAAATTAAAATCTATCCAGTAGTTTTCCCGTGATGTGCACACAACTGCAATCCTCTCAGTTTATTCATATATATTTACTAGCTGACCAGGCAGACGTTGTTCTGCCCTTTCCAAGCGACCATTTGCTTTCATAAAAAAAACTCCTGAAATTAGAAATAAAAAAATTGAGGGTCACTTGTCAGGATAAAAACTATCCTATCTCTCAAGTTGGACTTAACTGCACACAGTGTGCAAAATTTCATTGAAATAAGTTATAAGTAGTTTAAGAGTTCATCGTGGACAAACAATGTGACACGTAATTTTTATACATAAAGATATTTATAATAGATGCTTGTATTTTTGTTAAAGCCTCATATTGGTTGCAGGATGTACCAAACTTGGTATAGACTAGATTTTGGCTAGGTTTTGCTACATTTACGTAATACATGCTCCACAGCCCAGCTCATATTACTAATACAAATTTTTCTTGTATATTGTTAGTAATATAGTGTCTGTTATCATTTGAAGCCTTTCAATTGCATTAGACAATTCATAAAAATCTGCAATAAAATAGTTTTCAGTCCAGCATTGTGATCATTTGGAATGGACCAACTTTGTAGGAAGTCTTATTTGAGGGAATTCTGTATTAGTCCTGTGTTACATCTGCTAAGTCGCAGCTGTTCTATTTTTGGCATTGTTTTCATTAATAAAATGAAATAAGACAATGCGCATAGAGCAGAATTTTGTATGAAATGTGAAACATGCTCTGAGCTATTTTATCTATACATCTATACAAATAAATAAAATTGAAGTGTCTGTTTGTAATGTCAAAATAACTATTTATTAAATGCATGTGAAAGTATATATGATACTTATAACAAAAACATAAATTAAACATAATAAGAAATGGAAGTCTCATGTAGGTAACATGCTTAACCTATTTTTATATTGCATAACACTTTTTCTTCATTTTAATTAATGAATATGTATGTCGCCAGGCATATTATATACTAGCTATTCCCCGCGACTTTGCCCGTGTATAATTTAGGGTTTTAATTTTTTTTTTGCGAGGAACCCTAATTATTTTTCTATAATAAAACTACCCTAAGTTACTCCTTATGACATCAGCTATCTGCCAGTGAAAGTCCCGTCAAAATCGGTCCAGCCGTTTCGGAGTTTAGCCGGAACAAACAGACAGATAGACAAAAATTTAAAAAAGTGTATTTTTGTTATAAGTAATGTTTATACTTTCATATACATTTAGTAAAACGTTGTAATTTTGATATTACAAACAGACTCTTCAATTTTATTTATTTGTATAGATTATGTCTTTAGACCACTGCAATGCAATTCACACTTATCAAAAGGGAGGTAAAATGAAACATGCCTCTTTCTTGTATCTATCACTGGCTGAGAGAGCTACACAGATATCAACATAACAGTTATACACAGTCAAATGAAATTATAAAATGTAGACATACAACCAAAAATAATTTTTCAACCTATTTCAAAAAAAGGAGGTTCTCATTTCGCATGTATTTTTTATGTGTGTTACCTCAGAACTTTTTTCTAGGTTTTTTTTTTATAGGATCGGGTGACAAACGAGCACACAGTCCACCTGATGGTAAGTGGTTACTGTGACCCACAGACATCTACATCTATCCTCAATAAAGACTCAAGATGCAGATGCGTTGTCACCCGTGAGGACTAAGATGGAATGCCTCTTTGCCAGTAAAAAGGGTCTCCGGTTCTCTACACTCACCATACGCAACACAGCAGGGTTAAGCTGCTATTTTACGCTGGTTTTCTGTGAGAGCGTGGTCCTTCCCCGGTCGAGCCGACCCATTCGTGCTACAACCATAATGTAGCTGCAGCATGGCTCTACCACCGATGAACCGATTTTGATGACTCTTTTTTTCATTTGAAAGCTGGTGCTTCTCATGTGGTCCCATATAAATGATCAAGATCTGTGCAGTAGTTTTTGAGTTATCCTTAATAATGCGTATATAATTGACTATAACTACATTGATGATGTTCTCATTTTATTTATATTGAAGTCGGTTGTACAACATTTTTAATTTTACCACTTGTGGAATATCAGTTTTGCATAGCAGTAGGTACATCATTTCTATTTACTCTTTATTTTTCAGAACCATTCTTATAGCCAACAATATAACACAAATCAACAAGGATGCAAATCTAAACATCACAATTGAAGACATCAAGCTGTGCAAGCGTCTTGCCAGACGTACAACTACCGATATGTTTGAATTGCTTAGCAAATCACTTGCTCCATCTATTCATGGACATGATTATATTAAAAAGGCCATATTGTGTTTGTTACTGGGTGGAATGGAGAAAATTTTACCTAATGGCACTAGGTTGAGAGGGTAAGATTTGAATTAATGGACTAAATATATAATTGTTATTATTATTGTATGTAACATACAATTTATCTTATAAGAGGGACACTTGTCATAGTCGTCATGCTTGGCAACTGCAGTTTTTTTTAATAATTTATTATCAGGAAGGTGCCCATCTCCTATTCCATTTCTCTTGATTGCCTCATACTATAATGACAATGTAATAAAGTAAGATTCTCAAAAAAAATCTGTATAGTGGCAACCAAGAAAAACCAATATGCAATTTATATGTGGTAGAGCCATGCTGCAGCTATATTAGTAGTATAGTTGTAGCATGAATGGGTTGGCTCGACCAGGGAAGGGTCACGCTGTCACAGAATACCAGCGTAAAATAACAGCTTAATGCTGCTATATTTTGTATGGTGAGTGTAGAGAACCGGAGACCCCTTTTACTGAAAATGAGGTATACTATCCTAGTCCTCATGGTTGACAATGCATCTGCATTTTGATTTGCAGTCGAGGATAGATGTAGATGTCTATGGGCCACAGCAACTACTTACCAACAGGTGGACTGTATTCTCTTTTGTCACCCTTATCCTATATTATCCTTAATATAATATTGATAATTTAATAATAAGATACTATTTAATATTATTTGCACTATGAAAATAATTAATTTACAATATTAGGACATGGTCTAGTGGTCACAGTATCTAAGTTAAAACTTATCTATATATTCCCAGTTGGAATCCCAGCCAGAGCAAATTTTAGTGCTAAATGCAAAATTGACGACATAGTAAGATATGCAGGAACTTGATGTATGCAGGTAGCTCGGGACTGTGCCTTATGGCATTCTTGGGGAGAGTCCTATGTTCAGCAGTGGACTTGTGAAGGGCTGTAATGATGATGACATATGAAGAACAAAATTATATTGTCTCCAAATCAATTCATTTAATGTTACATCTATTGACTTGTGACGTGCCTCAAGTTGAATTCCATGAATACCTGATATTATTTTCATTTAAATCAACTGTGTAATTTCTTACAATTCAGGCTGACTGACCAACACAAACCCACAAAATAACAGTTATGGCAACACCAGTAATGCATTTATTTGTAAATATACAGTTCATTGCTTGTTTGGTTTTTTTATTTATTTATTTATTTCTACCTCTGTCTTTACAGGCGTACCTAATACGACAGTGTAGGCACATAAACTATCTAATTTAACAAGGACAGAACACAACTTATCTACTATTATAACACAATATATATAATGTCACTTTTGTGAATTCACCCAAGGAACAACAGAATAAATCTACATCCTGAGCTACTTTATTTAGAGTGTGCAGCACTCGGGTCAGTGAGGCCTCCTTTAGAAGGTTGGTGCGTGCGCGCGGTACCGCGAACAGCGGAGGCCGCTTCCGGCGCCACACGTACCTATCCGGCACACACAACTTAGTCATTCGCAATATCGCCTCGTTATACACTTTTCCACGCAGCAATTTAAACATATATGTTGCCAAACTTAACTCCCTCCTAACCTCCAGTTTGTTATACCCCACCATGCCTAGAACAAATAATGTTGGGTACATTAATGGGTAGAACGGATCGTATCCGTATCCGTTCCACCATCAATTTGTATTTAGCTTCATGCGGGCTCCATACAAATCCATTACACTCTAGGTGACTTTTCACTAGTGCTTCATATAAGGCCCGGACCGCACAGAGATTTGTAAATTCCCGCGACTGACGTAACACAAATCCCAAATTTCTATACGCCTTCTTGCAAATCTTAAGAATGTGTTCCCTAAAATTGAGTTTCGAAGTGAAGTGCACACCAAGGTCTTTTACTTCTGTTACGCGCTGCAAGGCTACTCCGTCTAAATTATATTTGTATGTGTGAGGCTGGCGTGAATGTGTGAACGACATGACTGAGCATTTGGAAGTGTTAAAAAATAACTTATTCCTATGACTCCATTGTACTACTCTGTCAATGTCCGCCTGTAGTTTGTCACAGTCAGCTGAGTCCCTAACTATTGACACCAATTTTAGGTCATCCGCAAATAGAAGGCATGTTGATTGCCATACAACATCGGGTAGATCATTAATCATTAGGACAAACTTCAGGGGGCCCAAATTACTACCTTGACTCACTCCTGACCTGGTAAGGTATGGTTTTGACAGTTGACCAGCCCAGTCTACAAATTGGCTCCTATTTCTCATGTAGCTAGCGAAAAATGACAATGTTTTCGGCGTAAAACCCGCCTGCGCCAGTTTCATGAGTAGAATATCATTGTCGACCGTGTCAAACGCCTTACGGAAGTCAAGGTATGCGACATCCACCTGTGCCCCCGAATCCACTGCTGGTACCACTTCTGACATCAGATGAAGCAGATTACTGCCGGTGCTACGTGCCGGGCGAAATCCATGTTGCGCGTCCGATAGTTGAGCGCTTTTGATATCATATTGTGGTAATGAATAGAACAATTATTTCTTTTTTAAAATACTTGTATAAAAATTATAACCTCTATATATAAAAATCAAATGCTGTCCGTTAGTCTCGCAAAAACTCGAAAATGGCTGGACCTATTTTGATGAATTTTTTGTGTGTTTAAGTGGGTTCTTGGATGGTTTAGATTCACAATTGGACCCGGTAGGTGGCACTGTTGTTGATATCCATACATCGCCGGGGCCAGGGCTCGGATAACGGTATATTTTTCGAAACGTTTTCGCCTTAAATACCTAAAAACTTATTTAATTGAATCATAATAAAACATTTATGAAAAGAACGAAATTTTAAATTATTCTTGTTCAATAAAACTTTTTTAACCATTTTAAACCGTTTTTTTCCATTTTTGGCCCTGCAATACGAAACAAAAATATCTTATAGGTTTAAACTTGTGGCACGTGCCATTCATTTAGCTTCCTGTGGAATAAACCGTTTTCTACGTTTTCACATTACATTCTTATTTCGTTTTTGTTCCGAACAAAATGTTATACAAGGAACCGTACCAAAGGTTTTAAAAACATTATTTTAAATAACGTTTCCGAGCCCTGGCCAGGGCGTTATAACTATAATCATTTGTATCCATTTACTATTTTTCCTTGCAGCGACATTAACATCCTGTTGATTGGTGACCCTTCGGTGGCGAAGTCTCAACTACTGCGATATGTGTTACTGACTGCGCCACGTGCTGTCACCACCACGGGTCGTGGTTCTTCGGGCGTCGGACTTACCGCAGCCGTTACCACTGACCCTGAGACTGGAGACAGAAGGTACTTTTTATCAAAATTTATTTAATTTGAAGAAAATTGTTACATTCCATAATGATTAGGGTCCAACCGAAGCTCCAGCTTTGGCATTCTTCAACCAAAAGAGCACCAAAATTAGCGTTTAAAGTTTGAACGATGCCGAAATTTTGATTTAATAGCCAAAATCAATAGAATTTTTACGAAAGTAGTGAGTGCAATGTGCCACCGTGTGCTTAATTCTTAAAATAACTGCGTGCGAGATAATATTGCACTCACATTTGTATACATTACAGTGTTTTGTAATTATTATTGTGTAGTACTTATAAAAGTAAAAAGCCCTTTCTGAAACTAAGAAGAGGCCTGTTTACCACTCTAAGACGTATATAAGCTGTAATTTTACTTCTTGACAAAGCACTGCAAGGACTAATTGTCAAAGATCTAGTAGAAAAAGTTTATATATTGCTCTAAGAAATTCTTGATGTTTCTTATCCAAATACCAATAAAATAATCACCTGATGGTAAGTGGATACTGTGACCCATAGACATCTACATCTATCCTCGCTTAAGAATCAAAATGCAGATGCGTCGCCACTCCTGAGGACTAAGATGGAATGCCTCGTATCCAGTAAAAAGAGTCGCCATTTCTTTACACTCACCATACGAAACACAGACGCATTGAGCTGCTATTTTACGCTGGTATTTCTTAGTTGTCCACCTAATAATTGGTGGAACATTTAATTGTATTTCATTGCTCAAAGGCTGATTATTTATACATTCTTTTTAATTATATTTTTTTTATTGCAATGAATAGCATCATTTTGGCACATAAAAGTATAAGTAGGTAATTTATATTTCTGCTATTGCAAACAAAAATCCATGGGATTATATACATTATTTATATATAAACTTTTGATTTCAGCCAAAGGTTTATAGTAAAAAACGAACAATTGTTTATTTGTTTACACCAATAATCCTATCCTACAAATATTTTTTTTTTATAGGATAAGGGTGACAAACGAGCACACAGTCCACCTGATGGTAAGTGGTTGCTGCGGCCCATAGACATCTACTACTATCCTCTGTTACAAATCAAAATGTAGATGCGTTGTCACCCGTGAGGACTAAGATGGAATGCCTCATTTCCAGGAAAAAAAGGCCTCCGGCCACCTGCACTCACCAAGCGAAACGCAGAGGTAAACCTCTACTTCACGCTGGTTTTCTGTGAGGTCGTGGTACTACCCCGGTTCGAGCCGGCCCATCCGTGCGACAGCAAAAGCTGCCGCGTGGCTCTACCACTGTTAAATATTATAAATGTGAGCATTTGTTTGTATATTTGTGGCTCAATTGCGTAAAAACTGAACTAGATATAACTGTCAAAAAAGGCATATCTAAATATGGACATCATATCTTCTTCTTTATCAGTTCATTGTTGAACTAGGAACTATTCCATAGTTGGGTTTGCATTAAGGCAAAGAAAGTGTATTTGCTATTTTATCACACTATATCAGATGTTTTACACCCTTGACACTTCTCCTCCATTACGGATCTGGGGAAAACATTTCTGTTATAAATATCCAATGATTATACTGCCATTTATTACCTATATATGGTATTATAATCATTCACAGTGTATTATGTTTTACTATTTTATAATACTGCCATGATTTCTTCTTTTTTAAGGGTCTTAATAGGAGACGTCATTTAGATTATTTATAATTCTTAGATAATTATTAATATATAAGGAAAAAAATTAAAAGCATGTATAATTCCACAGGCTGGAAGCGGGTGCTATGGTGTTAGCTGATCGTGGTGTAGTCTGTATCGATGAGTTTGACAAGATGTCGGACATCGACCGCACGGCTATCCACGAGGTGATGGAACAAGGGAGAGTCACCATTGCTAAGGCTGGGGTGCATGCTGCATTGAATGCCCGTTGCTCAGTGTTGGCTGCTGCCAACCCTGTTTATGGGAGAGTGAGTAAATTGTGTTATTTGGTTTTCTATTTAATGTTAGGTTAGGTTAAATTGTATTTATTGGTTTTCTATTTACTGTTAGGATTTATTTAAAATTTATTAAGCTTTATTGTTCGTGCTACTTGAAAGAGATGAAACGTGCCACACTGAAAAAAACAGCGATTGTAATTCGCCGCGTCAAATATTAAGTGCGAGTCCTGTACATCACGTTCGGAAATGTCACGTATTTATTAATAATATTTAAAATGTGGAAATATTATGTACTTACTTCAATAATATGGTATTGCGATTATGCGACAAAATAAATAATTTCTTTCTTTTTGTGTTTTTTATGAATTGTCGTAAAAGTAATAATCTTACAGCCTTTAACGTCTTCTCTTCTCATTTTTAAAGAGAGTTTTAGAGCAATGACCCCACCACGTTGTTCCAATTCGTGTTGTCGGACTTCACGTGCCCGAAATATTTGATTTATCAATGTTTCACAATGTATCCTTTACCCCCAATGTGATAAACCACCTCTTCAAATTGTAACTAACAATTTCTTTGTTACCAGCGGGCAATGAAGTTTATTACTAAGTCAGAGTTAACATTAGTGATGCAAAATCAAATTGTTGGTTTTTTCCACTGAGTATTCATTTAATTTTCTCATGTACGTAAAAATTAATATACTTCATCATTAAATACGCCATGTGAGAGTTTTGTATGTTCAAACCAGCTGATGTTACCTAAAAATCATTTTTAAATTTTTTTTTTTTATAGAATAGGGGCAAACGAGCATGCGGCTGACCTGATGGTAAGTGACTACCGCCGCCCATGAACAACCGCAACACCAGGGGAATTGCAGATGCGTTGCCGGCTTTTTAGAAAGGTGTAAGCTCTTTTCTTGAAGGTTCCTAAGTCGTATCGGTCTGGAAAATTCGCTGGTGGTAATTGATTCCACAGGGAACTTGTGCGAGGGAGACAACTTCTTCTAAATCGCACAGTGGTGGACCGCCAATCATCCAGATGGTATGGATGGTAACGCGAGTTTTGTCGCGATGTGCGATGGTGAAATTGAGCAGCTGGAATTAGTCCGAACAATTCCTCAGAGCACTCCCCGTGATAGATGCGATAAAATACGAAAAAGAGATGCAACATCTCTACGCAGTGCCAGTGTATCGAGCCGATCAGAAAGAACTCGATCGTCGACGATTCGAACCGCTCTGCACTGTATGCGGTCAAGTGGAAGGAGCTGGCACTGGGGTGCCCCGGCCCAGAGATGGGAACAGTATTCCATGTGGGGCCGAACTTGCGCTTTGTAAAGTTGCAAGCGATGTGCCGGCATGAAATATTGTCTCGCTCTGCTGAGCACGCCAAGCTTTTTAGAGGCCAATTTGGCCTTCCCTTCCAAGTGACCACGAAACTGCACACTATTCGATATGTCGACGCCAAGGATTCCGATACTGGCTGAGGCAGCAAGGGGAGTGCCTTGAAACTGAGGAGATACGACAAAGGGGTTCTTTTTAGCGATAAACGCGCAAACTTGTGTCTTCTGGGGGTTGAACTGGACTAGATTTAGTCGGCCCCAATCCGAGACTTTGTTAAGCAAAGACTCGACTTCAGACACAAGTTTGTCCCGGTACTCGGCGACGTTTTCCCGAGAAATATTAGCACGGCCGGTATATAAGGCATCACCAGTGCTGTCGTCTGCATAGCAATGAATGCGACCAGTTAGCAACATATCATTGATATGCAGGAGAAACAGCATTGGTGATAGCACGCAGCCTTGTGGAACACCAGCGTTGATAGGCTTGAAATCAGAGCATGCACCGTCTACTACGACCTTGATGCTCCGATCAGCAAGGAAACTGGTGATCCATTTGCACAATTTCTCGGGAAGCCCTTAGGAAGGAAGCTTCGAAAGAAGTGCTTTGTGCCAGATCCGATCGAAGGCCTTCGCTATGTCCAAACTAACGGCCAATGCCTCCCCCTTGGACTCTAATTAATAGAATCTGTCGTTACTTTGCACTCCGTTATAATAGGATTAGTGGTGATGGGGATAATATTATAAATTTGTTTACAGTATGACCAGTACAAGACACCTATGGAAAATATTGGTCTTCAAGATTCCCTGCTATCTCGTTTCGACCTCCTGTTCGTGATGCTGGACATCGCGGACGCTGATCACGACAACCTCATATCTGAACATGTGTTACGGATGCATAGATATAGGTATGAAAATATCTTTGAATCTGTTTATTTTCTACTTATCAACTATGTGGCCTAGTAGTAGTTAAAAAATCTTATTGTTACTGAATACAAAATCAGTATCGGTTGTTTTGTGTTTTGATTGTGCCCTTTGTTTTTAAACAATCTTTTCTTCATCGTTATTACTGCAAACCATCACAAGAGTAAACATAATCTCTTAAATATAATTGTGCCATAGAGCAAACCTTGTGCGCCAACTTCCTGCATGTCATTCCAGGTCTTTAATCCATCTAGTGAGGGCTAACCACACACTCCATTAATATATATCAGACCAGTTGCTTAAATTCCCCATAATTTATCGGTCCTTCAAGCAAAACAACCTAACAGTTACTACTTTTAAGTAAATGATCCGTTACTGATACTTTAATTACCTTGATTACTTTAATAACCTCCGTCCATAGCCCTCTCCATGAATTTAACATAAACAGAACATAAACACTCAAGCCTGTCATCCAGAGGGGTAAGTAGAGACTACGGACTTCCATTTGACACGATCCTGACACACTTCTCGCCTCCTTTACATCCATACACCTACGCATACATGCTCGTCGATTAAGGGTGATAATTTCGCTAATTTGGTCGATAAACTTTCGTTTAGGGCCTTCCCGACTCTGCTGTTCATTTCTGCAACTTAAATTCAATTTGTCACTCTTTCCTTGTTCATTCTTTCTACATGACCAAACCACCGACCGAAGCATTCCTTTTTAATCCTGGTCACAACATCATCTAGCAAACCACATTTCTTATCACACAATTTCTCATCCTGTCTTTCTGATTAGTCTTTTTTGATTCCATGTATTTCTGAGTGACTTACTCATACAGTTTATATGGTATCTATCTATATGGTAGAGCCATGCTGCAGCTATATTAGTAGTATAGTTGTAGCACGATGGGTCGGCACGACGAGGTAAGGACCACACTCTCACAGAATACCAGCGTAAAATAGCAGCTTAACACTGCTGTGTTTCTTATGGTGAGTGTAGAGAACCAGAGACCCTTTTTACTGGAAAAGAGGCATTCCATCTTAGTTCTCACGGGTGCCAACGCATCTGCATTTTAATTATTTATTGACGATAGATGTAGATGTCTATGGGTCACAGCAACCACTTACCATCAGGTTGACTGTGTGCTCGTTTGTCACCCTATCCTATAAAAAAGTCAGCAGTAAAATATGTTAAATCAGTTCTATAAGTTATCACTGGCGTCATGCACTGGTTGTACATTTTATTTGTATAATATGTATCCTTATTTTATGTAGCGTATTTGGGCCAATGATGTTTTGAATGAAAAATTAAAGCTGATGAGTTTAATTAAAATAAGTCTGTGTAAGTAATACAGGAGTTTACTTTCCCTTCCAGAATTTTGACAAATCTATCTGTTGAAATATTTACAAAAAATTACAAACACAGGTGTTAGAAAATTGTTAATAAGCTAGCTTTTCCCTATGACTTCGCCCGCGTGGCATTTATAACTAATGGATTTCATGGGTTTTAATATGTTTTAAATAAAAGAAGCCTAAGTTACTCCTAATGACATCAGCTATCTGCCAGTGAATGTCCCGTCAAAATCGGTTCAACCATTTCGGAGATTAGCCGGAACAAACAGACAGACAGGCAGAATTTTTTTTAAATATATTTTGTTATAAGTACCGTCTTTCATATGCATTTGTAAAAAGATCCGACATTACTAACAGAAACTTCAACTTTATTTATTTGTATAGATTAAAAGTGTTTTATGGAATTTTGCTATGGGGTAATGCGACTTATATTGAAGCTATATTTGTTTTGCAAAAGAGAGCCGTTCGGGTGATTTATGTCCCTCAGACAAAAATTTAAAGAAATAAACATATTAACTTTGGCATCGCAATATTTTTATGAAAATGTAATGTATGTACATAAAAACAAATAGCTTTAATAAGGATGTGCATACTTTAAACACTAGGAACAAACATAAGCTTGTAATGCCAGTTACTAGACTCCACAGAATCAGTAATCCATTTATGGGGCAATGTATACGCTTTTACAACAAAATCCCAGAACATATTCAAAGTCTGTCAATAAACAAGTTTAAAAGTTTTATTAAAGAAAGACTGTACAAAAAGGGTTATTATAATATCTATCTATCTAATATCATGAATGAAAATAACCCCTGGGAATAAGGTGATCCCCACCATGCTGGTTCTATGATTAATCGTTTAAAAATTGTATAAACGAAATTATTGTTAAGTGAAATATGTTTGAAAAAAAAAAGTCCCGCTGGGTTTGTTGCTGGTTCTTCCCACGACAGAGGTATTTTCCGAACCAGTGGTAAATAAATAAAAAATTACTTTCAAAAAGAATTATTACATAATTCTTATTGAAAGTAATTTTTTTTAATCAATATTGAATAAAAAAATATTCTATTCTATTCTAACAAATAAAAAATTCAGTACATAATATAAATAAAATATTGTCTTATATTTTTTAATCTCTAAAATAACATTTATTAAATTTTAGAGTGGTAAAAACCCTAAATTTAATGTATAATTTAAATAAATACTGGGAGGGAAAACATAAACACGAAGTGATAAAATTAATATTTGTTACTAATTTCAGTAAATTATATGTATTTTCTATGATATACATATAAATATGCTAAACAATAAATAAAAATATTTGTACATATAATAGGTACTCTATTTACAAAAAATCTAAATCAGTGTTAAGAAAATTTTGAAATTCACTATTACGTCGCTCGCCTAAAGCGCTTTAGCCCTGAGTGTGTATGTAACCTGAAGTTCCTCCCGATTGTAGGTTTTTTTTTTTTATAGGGGCAAACGAGCATGCGGCTCACCTGATGGTAAGTGACTACCGCCGCCCATGAACAACTGCAACACCAGGGGAATCGCAGATGCGTTGCCGGCCTTTTAAAAAGGAGTACGCTCTTTTCTTGAAGGTCCCTAAGTCGTATCGGTCCGGAAAAATCGCTGATGGTAATCGATTCCACAAGGAGGTCGTGCGAGGAAGAAAACATCTTCTAAATCGCACAGTGGTGGACCGCCAATCATCCAGATGGTGTGGATGGTATCGGGAGTTCTGCCGCGATGTGCGTTCGTGAAATTTGGCGGCTGGGATTAATCCGAACAATTCCTTATATTATTATTTATTTACTTTATTAGGTATTTACTTTACGCAGATAACAAGAGTGACAGAGGTCCTGTCAAAGATTTATAGTTTTATTTTATTAGTATTAATAAAATCAAATAAAATATACACAAAAAGATGTTTCGTCAAAGCCTTGATGAAGTAACTTGTTAGAATAATAAATGGTATATTGTGCACTACCCACACACGTACATTAAAAAAAGATATTGTTTTCATAGGGATTCCATCTTCCTTTTTTAGGGTTCCATACCCGAAGGGTAACCAATGGGACCCTATTACTTAGGCTGGCTGTATCTCATGATCCGTAATAGGTAGACAGTTGAAATTTCCACAGAATTTGTATTTCTGTTGCCGCTATAACAACAAATAATAAAAATAAATTAAAAATTAAAGGGCTCCCCTGCTAGAAACGTGTTTTACGATGGTACGGGACACTTCATGCGAGACTCGCACTTGGCCGGTTTTTAAACAGAGTTGAGAAATTTTAATATCATTTGAAAATTATCACTGGTGGTCAGTTTGATCGGTCAATCGCCTAGGTCAGTATCGCTAATGTCTTCAGTGAATGAGTGAAACGGTTTTCTTTTGTTACAGAAATCCAAAAGAACGAGACGGCGAGGTGCTGCCAATGGGTTCAACAGTAGAAATGCTCTCAACGGAAAACCCTGACAATGAAGATATCGATGTGAGTTAATCTTTTTAGAATAATTTGCTCATTCATTATAGCTCATCAAACATCCACTTCTGTACAAAGTCCTCCTCCATAGAATGTCTCATAGGGGAGATATTTGCCATAGATGCTGCAATGTTTGGCAAGCAAGTTTGTAAAACCACAGTTTTTTTTAATAACTACTTGTTGGTACCCGGCGCGTTACTACCGTAAATGAAATAATTGTGGAAATATCATTTTAAATTTCAAAGAGTTATATTGTTTAATTGGGAATGATGATACATTCATTGAAGTTGAATTATATTACAATAACTTTTAAATAAATTTGTCGCTACGATATGCGTGCCACCAAGTAAAATAATACAATTAACCTGTAAGTTAATTGTACTATGCCTATAACCTTCGCGCTAGTGCCATCAATAAGTGGACAAAGTTTTACCGCAATCTGGTGAACGGTTTGGCAGCGTATAAAATACGAACAAACAAAAAATATTTTTTATATATTAGATAGTGCTTATAACTAAGTATCATAGGCTCTCATTTTACAAATTTTTTTTTTGATTAGTTAAAAGTTTACTCCACTTATATGTCTTGACAATTTTAAGGAAACAAACGATTCCATATATGAGAAATACGACCCTCTCCTACACGGAAACACCAGAAACAAGAAGGATCAGATTTTAAGTACTAAGTTTATGCGCAAATTCATTCACATCGCCCGTCTTATGAAACCCAAGTTGACTCAAGATGCATGTGATGTAATTGCGGACGAATACGCAAAGCTGAGGAACCAAGATATGATGGATAGTGATTTGGCTAGGGTAAGTATGGTTAAGACTTTTTTTACACACTCGTGCAACTTCGCGAAGGGCTCAGTCAGTCGTAAACATTATCCAGACAGTCAGTCTATAAAATTAGCCAGCTAGTTAAATATATAAATTAAATACATTTTACAAAAAAAAGTGTCAAACAAGCTAACTATCCACCTGATGTTAAGTAGCCACTACGGCCCAAGGGCACTCTTGGGCCGTATTCGCTACTACCAAACAAAGAAAGCTATAGCTGCAGTCACTTTTGAAAATAAAATTGGATGCTTCTCAAAATGTAACCATATTTTATGGTTTTATTTATAAAAATACCTAAAGTATATTTATACCATTCGCACTTACCAGTAAGTTCAAATAATTCATTTATAACAATTCAGTAAGTTCAATTATAATTTTTTTTTAATCTTCCTTATAGTTCTGAACCGATTTCATTCCATATTGTCTACCTGTAATTTTTACTGTTTTCTATTTTGGAAATTATCTCTGAATGACTCAAAGCTTTTTCTTTGGCACTACGCTACTCTTAATTAATATTTCTTCATCAGCCATATTAAATTCAATTCTAAATAAAAGAAAAATAATAAATTATACAATATTATTCTTGTACAAACTATTTGCAAAAGAACAAGGGCAGAAAAATAGTTGAAATAAAATGATATAAAATGAGTTTTATTATTTTTCTATGATTTTTCAAATAAAAATGTATTTTAAAGCCACAAGCCACAGAAAAAAAAACCTTTTTGGGAATATCAAATGACTTTAATGATTTTACTCTATTCAAGTGTTGCCATTTACATATTCATACTATTTTCGTATACACTGTAAGACTATCAACACAACATACAAACACTATATTTGTATGTTAAGTTATTATAAGTAATAACTATATGCACTATCAGTAATAATAAGAATAAAAGTGATATGGTTGAAAAGTCTCTTACAAAGAACTTCCTATGTAACAATTCTATTTAATGTTATGGCAACACTAGCTAAAACAAAATGTCGTTGTTTTTTTAACTGGATTTACGGCTCTGGGTTCTAGCCCTTCTGAGAATGTCACTGTATGACACAAAGGCCCTGGAGCCGGGCCAGAAATATACATTTACAATATTTAAATATATAATAGAGATACAATAATCTCAATTATGTAGGTAGGTACAACCACAGGACGCATGACTTTTTCCAAGTGACATAAGACATAACCTAAAAAAGTTGAAATCTAAATATCTTTTTTTTTGACGCCTTCTCAGGATAAAATTCTTTGACAAAGTTATTCAGGGACTGACGCTTAACATTTTAAGATATTTTTGATATATAGACGCTACCATTCCTTCTCAACTAATTTTATGTATGAAGTCTGCCATTGTTTTTTATTTTAGAAACAGCTTGGAAGCGACCACATCATTCTATTATCAACCATGTATTCATTTATATTATAATAACCCCTTTATACAGTTTTCGTTTAGTAATATATTTAAACTTGGTAATAGACCTTGTATATTTCCTGAGACTTCATTGTAGTATTTTTTTTTATAGGATAGGGGTGACAAACGAGCACAGTCCACCTGATCGTAAGTGGTTGCTGCGGCCCATAGACATCTACATCCATCCTCTATTACAAATCAAAATGTAGATGCGTTGTCACCCGTGAGGACTAAGATGGAATGCCTCATTTCCAGTAAAAAGGGCTTCCGGCCACCTGCACTTACCAAGCGAAACGCAGAGGTAAACCTCTACTTCACGCTGGTTTTCTGTGAGGTCGTGGTACCACCCCGGTTCGAGCCGGCCCATCCGTGCGACAGCAAAAGCTGCCGCGTGGCTCCTCCACTGTTAGTAACATATACATTGTCCCACTTGTGTTTGTTCCTAGTGTTTACAGTGTGTATAAAGTACTTATTCTTATTAAAACTGCTTTTGTTTTTGTGAACACACATTAAGGTATCTTAAATATATGTGTTATATAGACCTTGTATATTTTCTGGGACTTTCTTGTAGTGACATATACAATGCCCTACTAATGAATTACCGGACTACATGTAGTTGAGTAGCTGGTATCACTAGCTTGTGTTTGTTCCTAGTGTTTACAGTGTGTAAAATACTTTTTCTAACTAAAACTACTTTTGTTTTTGTGAACACACATTAAGTTATCTTAAATATATGTGTTATATAGACCTTGTATATTTTCTGGGACTTTCTTGTAGTGACATATACATTGCCCCACTAATGAATTACCGGACTACATGTAGTTGAGTAGCTGGTATCACTAGCTTGTGTTTGTTCCTAGTGTTTACAGTGTGTAAAATACTTTTTCTAACTAAAACTACTTTTGTTTTTGTGAACACACATTAAGTTATCTTAAATATATGTGTTATATAGACCTTGTATATTTTCTGGGACTTTCTTGTAGTGACATATACATTGCCCCACTAATGAATTACCGGACTACATGTAGTTGAGTAGCTGGTATCACTAGCTTGTGTTTGTTCCTTGTGTTTACAGTGTGTAAAATACTTTTTCTAACTAAAACTACTTTTGTTTTTGTGAACACACATTAAATTTTCGTAAATATATAATATGTTATATATGTGCATGTTTCAGACACAACCGGTGACAGCTCGTACTTTGGAGACTCTGATCCGGTTAGCGACGGCGCACGCGAAATGTCGACTTAGCTTCCAAGTGACGCAGGACGATGCACTTGTCGCAATCGAATTGTTGCATTACGCGTACTTTAAAAAGGTTAGCTTATTATTCTTTTTTCAAATTATGATTGTAGTGGACTGTATTGTGTTAGGGTGATTACTGCTAGGGACGTTATTAAAGAAAAGGTGGTACACGTTACAATTAAAATATTTACAAGGACGGCAATTATGATTACTCTTATTTACACAAGAGGGAATCTTCTATGGGAGTCTTGAGAGTCTTGATTGTCTTGAGTCTTCTTTCTTGAGAGTCTTCCGGAGCCGGAGGGGGCCAAATGGCTCTAGCAAGCTGCCTGTCAAGCGTGACAACTATATAATATATCACACCTATAAAGTAGTATCCAGGGGCTGGGATTTAAATACATACTCTATTCTTTTTTAACAGTTGTTGATTTATATTCTTATTCCTAATAAAGTATCTGCTTTCTGGTACTGCTCAGGTTAAAGTACCTGTTTTAAGATATTGTTTCAAAAAACGATATTTATAATATATTTTTTTTGGTTCTAATTGGGAGATGAAACCTTTGTGGCAAAGATTAATTTTTACATTACCTCAATCGTAACATCGTAAATCGTAACAATCGAAAGAAAGTCACAGACATAAATTTAGAAACTGATACCTGGTATACTGGTCTGGAATATGTCTTGTGAAGATGTCTAATAGTTTTGAGTTTTTTTTATACTACTTAGTCGGGTCATAAGTTCTGTCAAAACTTTATTATTTAAAAAATTTGAATACTGGCTAGATGAACTTCACCAATTTTAAAAATATAACGTTAGCGCTTGCCGAAAATAAAAAAGAATAATTTTCATTCATTTTGAAATGTGGTGTGGTCGAAGAAAGAAGATAGAGTAGCGGTCATCGCGTTGCACCGCTATGTGTGCACCGCCAAAAGAGATTCGCGATCATCAAACCAGTGAAGGCGCGAATCCAACGAAATCCTGTTCGTAAACAAAAAATCTTAGCTCTTCAGATGGGCCTAAGCAGAACCACGGTCAAGACAATGATCAATGAAGACCTAGGACTACCAGCGTATCGTAAGAAGACTGGACATTTTTTGAACGAGCGTTTGATAAAAATTAGGCTGGATAGATCCCGCGCTTTGTTACGGCGGTACGCGGGAAAAAAATGTCGCGAAATATTGTTTTCGAATGAAAATATTTTTAACATCGAAGAAAGTTATAATAAACAAAATGATAAGGTGTATGGCCACAGCAGTGAAGAAGCCAGCACGCGTATTCCGAGGATTCAACGAGGAAAATATGCTTCGTCACTCATAATTTGGCTTGGAGTCTCATATTCAGGCTTAACTGAGGTGTTTTTCTGTGAAAAAGGTGTAAAAATCAGTGCCGACGTGTACCAAAATACCATCCTAACAAGCATAGTGGAATCTCTTTCTAAAACAATGTTCAAAGACAGACATTGGATATTCCAACAGGACTCTGCATCACCTCATAGGGCACGAAGCACGCAAAACTGGTTGACCGCCTGTGGAATTGACTTTATCGGACATGAAGACTGGCCCTCTTCTAGTCCCGATTTAAACCCACTGAATTACGACATATGGCAACATTTGGAGGAGAAAGTCTGCGCTAAACTTCATCAACTATTTGGAATCTCTCCGAGCATCTTTGGCTAAAGCAGCGGCAGAAATAGATATGAATGTGGTGCGCGCTGTGATTGATGATTGGCCGTGTCGATTAAGGGCATGTATTCAAAATAGGGGAGGGAATTTTGAATAGTGTTAATAAAATTGTATTCTAAATTAAATTACCTTTAATTTCATATATAATTTCTATATAATTATCAAAAAGTGTATCATTAATTTTATAAAAGTTTTTGACAGAACTTATGCCCTGACTAAGTGTAAGGGTGGCAAACGAACATATAGTCCACCTGATGGTAAGTGGTTGCTGTGACCGATAGATATCTACATTCTATCTTTATTTGCGAATCAAAATGCAGATGCGTCGTCACCCGTAAGGACTAAGATGGAATGCCTCGTTTCCAGTAAAAAGAATCTCCGGTTCTCTACACTCACCATACGAAACACAGCAGCATTAAGTTGCTATTTTAAGCTGGTATTCTGTGAGCGTGGTCCTTCCCCGGTCGAGCCGACCCGTTCGTGCTACAAATATACAATTAATACAGTTGTAGCATAACTCTACCACGTATAAATTCTGGAGTTCTGGTGCTAATATCAGAACAGCTAAATTCCATTAGCTTATCAGTATTTCTGGAACCTTTTGAATCACGGTCTTATCAGTTTACTGTTAAAGGCTAATGAAGAATATTATTACAATTATATATATATATATATATATATTATTGCAATTTAACTACGTAACTATTTTACAGGTGCTGATAAAAGAGAAACGTCGCAAGCGACGCGCGTCTTCGGCTGACGAAGGTGCGACATCTGAAGGTGAACGCAGCAAACAACCGCGAGCCAAGAAGACGCGCACGGTATATTGACTATTAATGCTGTCATTTATATGTATGTCAAAGTTTGAGAAAATGGTAGAGCCACATCTTAAATTTAACAGGTTGCTTTATTGATGTTGCTACTACGAATATATAACTTAAGTGGTAGAGCAAATAACTTGAGATAAGGATAGGAAGAAGAATATTAAAGACGACGGTAAGATCAGGTCTTAATTTTTTCATATTGTCTTCCAAAACCTGAACTAAAGCAAGGTTCCCCAACCTTTTTTGACCAGGGACCACTTTGAATTTTTTCGTAGTTAGCAGGACCACAAAGAAAAAAAACTGTTAATCTAACAATAAATTATAATCACAGCTTTTAACATAATTATATAACAAACAGAAAAGAAGCATTCATTAACAGTATCATTTGTGTATTTATTGTAGAAGCTACTAGGTTACTAACGTGACGCGCGGTGTTGCACTGCTCACGTGACGATAAAATAATAATAATAATATATGTAATGTTTGAGACCTTCTAGTAAGTAAATAAGTTCTTGTAGCAGAAGGTCATAATAAGTGTGTTAATTAAAACGATTAGGTAGGTAAAATATTTAAATCTTTCGCGGACCATATTTAAGCTCTTGCGGACCACTGGTTAGGAATTCACTGAGCTAGAGAATGAAATAGGTGCTTGTCTGTGTGAAAGTCTGCAAAATACGGTAGGTGGGTAAGGACAGCCTAGTCAAGTTAAAATATTTTTTCATGAGTCACTTGCAGTGTGCTTGGTAATTTATGTGTGAAAAATTGAAAATTAAACTTTATTCGATTTTTCGGTAATGTCATAATTTAAAAATAATAGTATGGAATTAGGATTGTTATCTCTACTTCTTGCTAGAGAGAGAGAGATTTAGATGCTAATAACCTATGTCGTACGCAATATTTCTTTAAAATAAAAACGTATGGAGTTAGTTGTTTATTATATCTACATTTCCAAAAATTATTATACTTACATACTAATGAGAATTTCTTTCTTCAACTCCTCTTCCTTGTATCTTTGTGATTCTAACACTGTTTTGAAGTTTTACCGTGGTCGAAATCATTCATGACATTAATACATTTTTATTATTTTATATTTGCAGGAGAAAGGAGAAAGCGCAGATCCATATGAATTCTCATCAGATGAGGAGGCTGAGCCAATGCTCCGCGCTGCTCATTCGACACAACCTGAATCTTCGCAACGGGTCACCAGGTCTACTCCAAAAGTTATAGATTCTAACCGGTATGTACACCGAAATTTTAGTTTTAATTTTTTATCTTTTATATTTCTGTTAATTTAAGCAACGTACTTCATCAATGTTAAAAGCCACAACATAACAAGTGTTTTTATAATTGGATACAGCTACACAAATAAGATTTAACCTACAAAATGTTGAACTTTGAGATCTTTATTTATACTTTATTGATTTTGTTCTTTATTTGTTTTCATTCGACTTCAAAAAAGGAGGGGGTGTGCAATTCGAATGTATTTTTTTTTCTTTTTTATGTGTGTTACCTTATAACTTTTTCTAGGTGAACCGATTTTGATGTTTCTTTCTTATGTGAAGGCTGGTGCTTCTTTTGTGGTCCCATATAAATTTGATCAAGATCTGACGAGTAGTTTTTGAGTTATCCTTATAAATACGTATTTAAATGACTTAGACTACATTGATAATGTTCTGATTTTATTTATATTGAAGTCGGTTGAACAATTTTTTTTTTATTTTACCACTTCTAGGCTTATTCTAGGCTTTTTATCGTAAGAAAGTAGCCCTAAACATTATTTTGGCCCCTTGCCATTTGGTTTTATCCTGTGTAACTATGTGTTGTGTTGATAAAGAAAATTACACTATTTAATGTCCATTATATTTTTTTAGATTAACACACTTCAAGTCGGCTCTCCAACAATTATTCCGGGAGGAGCGAGCAAACTCATTGCCGCTGCACCAAATCACAACATACGTTAACGAGAAGTACTCGCATCAGATCTTTGAATCTGATGAAATCCATGCAGCACTTGATCGCATGACTCAAGACAACCAGGTCATGATGGCGGATGACATAGTTTTCCTAATTTAAGGTGACTGAGACTTGAGTTGTTAAATCATGTTAACAGTAGATTTGTCATTTAAGTTTTAAGTTGCAGTAGTATTTAAGAGTACATACACACATACGGACATGCATGTTGTCTAGGGTGGGTATGTCTGCTAGGAAATGTTTTTTATAAAAACTAATCAAAACTGTTCTGATTCGAAAAATAATAACTTCCTTTATATTTTCGTAATGAAAATAAGTCTCTTAGTTCACTAACGGATAGGTCTTTTCAAAAATGTGCACACTGGAATGCATAACTTGATTTTTTTTTTAATATACATGAGTAATTTCATAAATTGCAAGACAATGAGGGCTAATCATTTTCTGCTCACCGGATGTCGCTAGTTGACACTGGTAGTTAGTTAGTCAGTAGGTAGCTTTTTTTAAAAAATGTCATTTAATTGAGAAGTTAGTTTTATTAAAAAAAAAAAAGAAAGTTTATCAGTTTCTAGAGTATTATATTAATACACAAAACAATGTTTTATTTTTCGACTTTTATGAAATTCTGTGGTTTGGTTTATTTATTCTTAATGTCATTAATATAAAATATATCTATAATATATAATTTTTCGAACAAATTAACTTCCCCAATATGAAATCTGTCAAATAATATACCTCACTTTTAAGTGGCGCCGCCCTGGTGGCAGAAAAAGTAGTGGATGCCCTTGTTGTTATACACGTTGACTTACTACTAAATGGACCTCGGCTACGTGCTCAAGTGTCCGAGCCAAAAAAGTTCCTGTAAATATTTAATTACTTAAAAGTAATATTTTGCTTAGATACATAGTATTTCATTTAAATTATTCATATTAATTGTAAAAACAATTTAACGTAATTTTAGCTAGAAGCTTCATAAGGGGAAAATAATAGATTTAGTATATACTTACATTGTTTGTAAGATTGGCAATGTAAAAAGGAAAGGGCATAGCATATGCTTACGTTAGAACAAGATAGAATGGCTAAACCATACACGTACACGCTATAGGCTTATATCGGGCTGACGTCAATCGTTAACGAAACAAATCCCTCTGATTTTCGCGTTATCTTTTGATTTTGAAGTATTAATAGGTGTTTAAAAGGTGTGATTAAATATGGTGACGTGTGCAGTACCAGAATGCAGTTCATCGAAAAAAGAAAATCCACAAAATTATAAATTTCACACGTAAGTACAATAAAAATATTTAGAAAACATATTTAGTAATATTTTAGAATTGATAAAAATGTTTTATACACAAATGGATAGGAAAAATATCGCGTTTTATTATGATAATGCTCTAAATGTGTATGAATAATATTAAAAATAATAACCAATACGTGAATTCCCGCTATTTCTGATCTTATTTTTGTAGAGATTGACACTATCAATATCATCTTATCGATAATATGTTTATAACAGGCAAAGGCATATCTTTGGATGCAGCCTCTTGTAACTTAATATTTTTTTTAATTTTTAGGGTTTTGTAGGAAAATAGCATTATAGTAAATACTTTAATGAGATAATTTAAACATTTATAATGTTTCAGATATCTAAAATATATTGAGGTTAAACAAAAATGGTTAAAAATGAGAAATAGAGAAGACTGGGTTCCCAAAAAATATAACTATACAGTTTGAACAAAAATGTCTTTTTTTCTCATGGAAGTGCACAAAGAGTAAAGCTGCGTTCAAGTAGTTCAAGCGTTAAAGTAGTTTCTTAAGAATCTAATTTTCGGTTCTTAAGGAACTGCGCACGAATCGAAAACTCGTAGTTTTCCGAAAACATATGACAGGAAAAGTTATAAACGAAAATATGTTTCGAAAATTAGTAATCGAATGCCTTGTGTCCTGCAAATTTTTTTAACGTCCTTGAAATACATATATATGATTCGCCCGCAATATCAAACCATAAACACTTAATTATTACATTAATAATCGAAATTTATTTGATTATTAGATTGAAGTATGAAGCAAAATACCACATTCTTACGATACATTAATTATTTTTGGGGGGAAATAAAAATCATAAACGTTGTTTGTAGTTTTATTTTTATACCCTCAAACATAAAAATATTCATTTTATGACACGGACACAGCGCTTTGTATCGATAATTGAAGTTAATACATTGCGCAGCACTATTCGTCTCGCACACATGCACATTTCACTTACACCGCATTTTGTTTTTGGTCTCACCCTAACCACTCCATCGCCAATCTAATGTATACTATATCTATTATGAAAATAATGCGGCCTTTAGTTGAAGTTAATTGTCGCAAGTAAAATTGAGCAGTTTTCTAATGACAATATGGTTTAAATTAGGATGTAATAGTATTATTTATAATTCTTCTTATATAGGTTGTCTCGGGATACATTTTTCGTGAATTTTGTTGTAGACTCGCTGTCCATTTAGTAGTATAAGGTCGAGAAAAACTAAATATGTAAATTAGCAGTCTTAAATATGTAAGTTACTTAGTCTTAGGGCGACTACAATTCAGTGATGATTATCAACTGAAGCCAATAAACAGAAGCATTGTCAAAGTAAATAATATGAAAATTTGTAGTTGTATTACACTCCTTAGTGGACTATATTAAAAGCAGTGCCTTATACATAAATAGTACGACTATTTATGTTTTAAATTATACTTTACTTAATGAAGTCGGTATTACAAATCGAAACAAATGGTTCTATATATGGTATGGAATCTACTTATATATCCAAGCTGTCTATTTTTATTTTCTTATGTAAAGTTTCACTCGCGTGTATATTAATTAACTGATACATTAGTGAAAACATTGTTTGTTAACAAATCAAAACAATCTCTCAGTTGCAAACAAAACTTGCATATAATTACTGAGATTTTAGACTTAAATAATCAGTTAATTCAAGCAATTAATTGTTAATATTTAAGATCTGTGTATATGTTGAAACTTATAATTACTTTATTGTGCAAATGGTTTTAAAAGTGCTTTAGTTTTATAACAAAGTTAATAAAAAGTTGCTCTGCAGTAAAATTTTTCAAAAATGAATGAAATTAAGGCAGTTATTGAAAAACCACCCATACTGTTGTATCATGATCAGTTGATTTTTTTAGTTTATTTATTAAGCTTGCGTAATAAGCAGATATGGTAACATTTTATCCATCTCATTTCTGTCCCTTATTATTCGTGGAGTAACAATATCATATGGAAGTTGTGCTAGTACCCACCTGACCTCCATTCCCGCTGTCAATAGTAGAATTGTTTTGATTGATAATTTCCAAAATGCTTAATCTGAAATAATAAAATTTAAGGTAATCTGTAATTCTGATAAAATTAAAATATTTTTGAGGACATGTGAATTTCACTCTTCTTCGAGGTCTTCACTGTGAGCAGGTCTGTGGTTATCAATGATATGTAACATATGAATTTACATACTACTTTAACCATATTTTATTTTTTAATTTTTAAGTAACAAATTGTTTTTGTCTGAAACAATTGAAGCATGATATCATTTTCAAATCAGAAATGTAAAGGATTTTCATTACTTTTATATTGATTGTTATATGTTGTGGGACACAATATTAAATTGAATTTGATTTAATTTACGATGCTTTTATTTCTGTTTTTCTTTTATAAGTACAGCTGGAATTTGCAATTATTTCCAATGGTGTAGGAGTACATCGAGTCTATAGAACACTATTTACGCAATACGGAGTCAACTGAAATGCTTGTCAAATTTAAACTTCAATATAAATTTTATAGTAATTCTTACAACTATAAGTAATAATGAAGTTTTTATTCCTTGTTAGTTAGTATTTGAAGAACAATGTAAAAACAATGAAATATTTTATTGCATGTAGAAAAATCTGTAATATGACCACCCAATTGAAAAAAGATGGAATGTAATGTCATCATCATCATTACAGCCTTTCACAAGTCTTCTAATTGGTGAACATTGGCTTCCAATTTTCACCACCAGTAGATTTGTGAAAGGCTGTAAAAAGAAATGCTACAAAACCTGGGTCTGAGCCATCTGCATCCGTCGTAATGATAAAATAAATTAATTTTAACTGACTGCAAAAAACAGAGGTTCACAATTCGATTGTTTTTTTTTTGTATCTATGTTACGCGATATCTTCGCCAATTGAGACTCGATTTCAGGCGTGGTCCCATTAGATACGAGCGCCGAAGGCCAATTCCACATAGGCCTCAGATATTGTTTTATCAGGTAGAGATTTCTTTTAAAAAAAAACCATATTGATTGTACCAAAACAGCTTTATATTTTTTAATAAAGCCCTGACGAGCCGCAGCCCAGTGATGGGAACAGTATTCCATGTGAGGACGAACTTGCACTTTGTAAAGTTGCAGGCGGTGTGCCAGCATGAAATACTGTCCCGTTCTGCTGACCACGCCAAGCTTTTTATAAGCCAATTTGGCCTTCAAGTGATCACGAAACTTGCACGTCACTCGATATGTCGACGCAGAGGATTCTGATACTGGCTGAGGCAACAAGGGGAGTGCCTTGAAACTGAGGAGATGCTCCGATCTGCAAGAAAGTTGGTGATTCAGTTGCACAATTTCTCGGGAAGCCCATAGAAAGGGAGCTTCAAAAGAAGAGCTTTGTGCCAAACTCGATCGAAAGGCCTTCGCAATATCAAAACTAACGGCTAATGCCTCCCCTTGGACTCTTATGCCTCCGCCCATCTATGAGTCAAGTAGACCAGAAGATCACCAGCTGACCGACCCCGACGAAAACCGTATTGACGGTCACTAATCGGCTGGTGATCCTCAAGATACCTCATGAGCTGACAGTTTAGGATTCCATTATTTTGGAGAACAAGGTGATGGCAATAGGCATAGCTAGACGGGTTTGAGCGGTCGCCTTTTTTAGCCAGCCTGCAGAGTGTAATCGCGATGTTAATGTGAGTGGCACTACACTCCGCACTCGACAATGATCTGAGGAGCCAAGAGGGGAGTGGACGGAGATCTGATATCTATCTGGATGAGAGGTTAGTAGAAGGTCCAAAA